GGTGAATCCTTTTATACTTTTTGAAACATGTCTGCACTGGAGCAACCAGAGGATGAACATCTGCTCTGCAGTGACAATCCTGTTTCAAGGTGTAGTTATTGCTCGCTTGTGTTACTCTCCTCATGAGCCATACTGAAGAGCTCATGGAGCATTGACAGGCCTGTGCCTTAAGCAACCTTGCTTTCTACATCTTCCCCAAAACAGAAAAGGGTGCAAACAAGCTTGCTTTTTGATTTATATGTGTCGTTACAGGACACCCTACTGAAACACCCATGCACCCGCCAGCAGGGACCTTTTCCTCCCAACAGCACTGCTCAGAGGCTTTGAGCCTTAACAGCCTAAAATGGTGTTTGCTGACAGTGTTGCTAAAACTGGGTTCAGATCTTAAAGTCTTGGCTGACTTAAAAATAACCCAAAGTAATGTACTTTTATTTCTGAAATCCAAATAGGCAGAGCTGCCTGTGTCAGCACCTTGTAGTGGCAGCCATCCTTCTGGATATCAGAAATAAATTGCAGAAATATCTTAGGCTGTCATGGGCTAAGTTCTATCTCGCCATGGAGGTGCTGCTCAACTTCTACCACACTCCTTAACATCAGGATCAGACATGCTCTTGTGTAGTCGCTGTTTACTGACTGAGGGTTTGTGGGCTGAGCTCTGGTGGTTGACTGTAACTGTTATCTCCCTGCACATGCAAGGGAAAAAATCCTTACCCCAAAGTTTGGTGAAAGGAAGTTTTATTTGGCATGCATTATCCCACACTTGCAAAGCTGAAGGCTGTGTATGCGGATCACTGAAATATTGTCAACAGGTATGTTAGGATTTGAGAAGATGAACTCTGTGGTAGAAACACAGTACTTCATTAGGTCCCCCTCTGCCCTTTTGTGCACTTGGGTTTTGTTAATGTGGTGGCAAAATTGTTCAAGATTTGAGATGTCTGCTAAGAAAACAATCCCAACTAAAAGAACAAACCTTTGTACTAGAAGGTAGCAGTCTCTGGTTGTTTCCAGCTCTTACCTCTGAGCTCAGATAATACTGGGTGTGCCACTTCTACTGGCTCCTCCAACATCCATCTCCTCGAATCATCCCACACTTACTGTTTGGTTCCTCCTTAGAATTGTGGCAGTCAGCAAGCTACCTGAGTCCATCTCTCCCAGGGATGGATATCTGGCTTTGGTAACCTTGGAATGGTTGTTTTCCTTCACTTCTTCCTTTTTTACTTCTGAAGCATTTGGGTCTCTGTGATTACTAGGCAGAGAACCAAGGGGAGATGCTGTCTGTGTGCTATCTTATTATGATAAGATTACCATGAAAGGTGGAACAGCTGTGAGAGATGTTACTCAAGCTAATAGATAATTGCAGAAAAGGCAGCATGTTTAGACAGTTTGTGGAGAAGATCATTAGGTTCATGATTTCTTGAGCTCTTAGGAACAGGAGTGTGCTGAAAGGAAGAGCATGAATGAGGTCTTCAGGTGCACTGAGGTGAATGTTCTTCTGGATTTGTCACTGCACAGAGAGAGATTGTGAAGAGAATGGAGAAGGCATTCAGCTACAGAGGGAGGTTATTTACAGAGGTGTACTCAGTAGCTCTGGTATTTATTTCATTGGCTTCTAAGAGGAAAAGCATCCTCACTATGAGAACAGTAATAACTGCTTCAGTTGCTTGTGGGGTACTTGGTGCCAGGCTGCTCCTCAGGCTGGTGCTGGAGGGCTGTGGGGTCATTGGAGATAGCCAGGTGGAGCATGTGAGTGATGTGCATCAGTGCATTGGGTTTGGCAGAGGAGCAGCTCATCTGGCTAGCAGTTATGCTTGGATTGGTGACCAACCAGTCCTGAGCTAGATGACCAATCCTATCTGGCTGGTGGATTACAGTTGCTATTAGAGCTTCTCCCCCAAGTCCCCCAAACCTGGGGACTGAGGACTCTCCCATTACAGGGTCTCTTTCCTCTCAGGTTTGTTCTTCCAGAATCAGTGTCCAGGAAGGGGTTAGCAGCAGATCTGCAGAGTAGTCAGCAGATAGGTGCATTTTATAGACAGCTGTTTTTTTCTTTCTCTGGGTCTGGGGAGAACCAGAGGAGGTTTAGGGAGGATTTCTGGGGTATAAGGATCCCTCTTTTTGTTTTCTGATCCACAGTGGCAAACAGGCACTACGCCAACACCTGGGCATGTGCCCTTCAGCAATGCAGAGGAGATAGAGTCTCTATAATTAATAGTGATGACTTTCTCAGAGGACGGGATAAAAACTTGAGTCTTAGAAACTTAGATTCCCTTCTGGTGCTGAGGGGAGGGGAATAAGGGAGGCATTATTCAAAAGCATTTCTTTTATTTAACAGATGTTAAATAGCACTGTGCCACTATATCAATCTGTCAATTAACCCTAATAGGAAACAGCATAGAGAGAAGTAAGTGATGTGTTTTCAGGGCAGTTGTGGCCTCCCTTCCATGGGGGCACAGCCCCGCAGGCAGGGCTATGCGGAAGGAACAGTCCCACATGTGCCCAGCACATGTGGATGAGAAGAGGAATGTCTGTGGACCAACACAGAAGGAACTGGCTGCAGCTGGACAGGCGTTCTGTCCCACCGCGTTCTGATGGTTGAGCTAGAAACTGGATTAAAAAAATCTTTAAAGCAGAGACGGTGCATAACTTTCCCCCCACAGCAGTGTGTATCACTGTTTTCACAGTCCAGGTGGATTAAAAGCTGGAGGAGACAAACGAACCTCTAATAGAATATCAAAGGCTGAAAAGCAACCTTTTGACAGTAGTGTACGTCGGCCCTTGAACAGCCCCAGTCTCTCTTAAAAGAGACCCACGGTGTTTTCCTCTTGAACACCATTTTTATTTCTTAAACTTGTCCCGGCTATGGATGCAGTCAACAGAATTTGGTACGATGGTACTGATAGAGCTGCACTGAGACCAAGGTTAAGTGATGGGAATTTCAAAACAAAACGATAAATTAATAAAATGATTGTGTCACCAGCTGATCCTCTTCTGACCACCATCTGTCCCCTGATCATGTGATGTCTCCCAGCTGGCCACCCAAGAGACAAACCATGCGAGATCAACAACATATGCTGCTATTTACACATTTTAAAGGTAATAGTTGCTAGGCTGTCCTATCACTGGTTAAAAGGAGTTATTTGGAAGCTAGGTGGATTTTCCCCCTTTTTTTTTGAGGAAGGCAGTGACTCAGCAGGTCTATTTCTAACAGAGATCGGTGAGGGCTGGATCAGTCGAAGTTCCTGTGTACAGAATGTGTGATCTCCCACCTTATTCCATGGTTTTGTGATAAACAGCAGAAGATGTGTAATGCAAAGAAGGAAAAAAAAAAAAAAAAAAAACCATCACAGATTTTAATAGTGTACCTTTTAGGAACACGATGTGCTCTCCCTGCCATAGCCAGGATGCAAACCGAGCCGTGCATTTTTAAACTATTGTTAAGATCAAGGATGTGGTTATGAGAAGACTTACAATTTATAGGATACTTAAGCATTAAGGATTGAGGCACAGAACATTTCCTGGGGATTAACGACTGACTGGGTGAGCCTCAGGCCATTAACCCCTGCCTGCCATTAATCTTCAGGAAGTGCCCTGCAGTGAGGTCCCTATTGCTGTTATATGCTGAAAGAGAGAATAATAAGAAGAAAGGTCCGTGCTTTATTTATTTATATTTTACGTAACGCAGCGCTATTTGGACTGCAGGGAATTAACATCTTTCTCTCTAGCTGCTCGTGCTGCTCCAATTAATGCGTTTCATGCATCTCACTGCTTTGGGAAAGGCACTGCCTGCACAGATGTACGTGGGGCAGGATGTGGCCCTCTGCTCGTGTTGCACTCTGTTTAATACGATGAATAGGTGGTGCTTTTCCAGTGTAACTGCTGGCAGAATTCAGCCCTATAGAAAACCCAGCTCAGAATGCTTGTTTTACAGCAAAGCAATTTATTCACAGTTCTAAGGATCTTGCAGCCTTTTTTTTTTTTTTAACTCGTTGAATAATCCTTTTAGGTTCCCCATAAAGCAGGTGAAATGCTTCTGCTGCAGTCCTAAGGCAGAACACAGGCTGCATAAATAGCATCTAAATTGCCAGGAATACAAAATACACAGAGTAATACATACCTACAAAGGCAAATTCATCCTGACAGGACTGCAGTACACGCTTATCAGCAGCACAACATCTCAGGGAGAAAAAGAAAAAAAAAAAAAAAAGTGGCTTTGTATTAAAATTGCATATGCATTTCTCTCTATATTTAAACACTTAAACGGTATTTTGTGCATGTGCTTAAAAACAGACGCAGGCACCCTTTTAATGAGGCTGCCCGCTCCAACATTGATTAGCTGGGAGATGTATAGTTGCCATGAAGCTGGCTGGTGCTTTTTTTTTTTTTTTTTTTTTTTTTTTGGTGTGTGTGTGTGTGTGTGTGTGTGTGTGTGTGTGTACATGGCCTCAGTCCTTGCAGCCTCCCAGAGAGTCTGTCAAGGCGCAACTTAAAAGCTCGTTCAGGCGACCATGACCCCCCGCCAGCAGATTGTCTGCCTAAAAGGTAAGGGAAAGCTGCAAAAGAAGTAGAAACTTAAAAGTAGCTTCTCAAAGGCTGCATAGATCTCTCTCTCTCTCTCTCTCTCTCTCTCTCTCTTTTTTTTTTTTTTTTTTTTTGTTAAACCTAAAGTGTTTAAAAGCTTTAATATTGATGGCCTGTCAACTTTGTCCTGATTCTTTGGCTTTCAGTTAAAAGGTTTTTGTTGTTGTAGCTTATGCAGTTGCTCTGTTGCTATGGAAACGTGACATCAAAATGACGTTTCTCTGTTTAAAAGCTTTTAACTAAATTCCTGCCTGTCAGATGTAGGCCCCATTTTGTGCACTCAAGCTTCAAGCTGTTGCAAAAAGGTTTCATATGTTCTGTTGTCATTCAAATTCTTTATCCACATATGCATGTCTTGCACTACAAAAACCTAAGCTAAAAACTCAATCTATATTAAGTGTCCTCTTTTAAAACCCTTTTAGGTCAGTCAGCAATGGCTGCAGCAGAAATTCCCAGTTACATTGTCTCTTCTCAGACTGAGAAACACAGGAGGGCCAGAAACTGGACTGATGCAGAAATGAGAGGTTTAATGCTGGTCTGGGAAGAATTTTTTGATGAACTGAAACAAACTAAAAGGAATGCCAAAGTTTATGAGAAAATGGCTAACAAACTCTTTGAAATGACGGGAGAAATTCGCCACGGAGAGGAAATAAAGATAAAAATTACAAATATGACATTCCAGTACAGGTAAGCTTCAGTTAATTCTTTTTATTTTAAGAGATGTTAGCAGGGGCAAGGCTGCGCTGCTTGCCTTTCAGAGAGAAGTATCCTTCAGCAAATGTGTAGATAAGAGATTAAAGATTGTTCGTATCGCTTTTAAAATTCTCTCTCGCCATCGCTGTTACGTCATTCTTCATTTTTCCCCCATTTCATTGCAAACTCCGGGACAACTTTGTCGCGTCGTAATTAACTCGCGGTGTTATGATGTAGAGGGATGGAAATGCAGTTAGTGGGAAAGCAGATTTTTTTTTTTTCTCTTTGCTGATTGTGTCAGCCTGGCAGCAGCTGCTTGCGGGGAAACTCCTGCAGTTGGAAGTGGCCAGAGAGGGTCGGTGTGACAAGGCAAAGTTTTGCTCGCTTTAATAATAAATACCGAATAATGCTTTTGGGGAACGAAGCTCCTGGGTTTTATTCGTGTGAGTTGAAGGGTTACACTTCAAGGGGCCGGGAATAATGGAATGCCTTATTGCTGAGTGACACACATTGCTGTAATTATAAGCAGCGCTGCTATATCTGCAGGGAGGGGATCGATGTGCACCGTCAATACCGCTCCTGAGGAGCTGGGGGAGGGCGGAGGTGGCTGCGAGGAGAGGAGATGGAGCAGGAGGGGAAGTTGGCTTGGAAAACGAGAGACGTTTGTTGCTTTGAGGGGAAAAGGAATTGGAACTTAGCAGAAACAAATGCTTCTCTTTCTCCTTTCTTTTTTCTTTTTCTAAAATTCTTATCTCTGCGAGGCACAAACTGCCTCATACTGGAAATCCTGAGCGGTGATTTCAGCCGTGTGCTTGTAATGCAAGAAAATCAAATATGTGACTCTTTTATTTAATCTCTCCTCAAAGCTCATATTAATAATAAAAAAGGTTATTACAGCAGGCAACCATGTTAAAACTGCTTGCTTCTCTGTTAGGCACCCTCCTGTATTTAATGCAGAGACTGCTCATCACATAGAAAACTAGGGAGAATCCTGTAAATCCCTTAACTTTGAATGTCCTCCTGCATTTGTAAGACCCACGAGCATAACGTTTAACATCATTTTCCATAATACTAAATCCACGTTTTCCAGCAGATGCTAATGCCTCCAAAATGTTTGACTAACCCTGTCGTAATCCTTGTAATTTTCTTCACCCAGACTAAGTGAGAGGGCTGGAAGCACGATCCATTTTTGCCCTGCATCGCCCAGCAGTTGCCACTCAGCTGCAGAGCTGGGAGCTGCTGGCTTCCCAGGCCACTGCTTAGCCTGCTAGATCTGCAGCCTCCCTGCTGAGCAGCACAGCTCGCAGCACCAGGATTTTACAGGTGTCTAGCTAGCAACACCGTGCAATATTGAAGTGCCGTAATTGCCAAGCACAATAGGCTATCTCTGTCAGCCTTTGTTCTAAATTTTCAGTGTTGTCATCAGTCAGACCGTCTCAGCTTTTCTAATTAATGTTTCTTCTTTAAAGTTGCAGTGGGGGAAGGGAAGAAATGAACCCCTCTCACCCATGCAGTCTGCGTGTGTGTGCGTGTGTGGAAACGCAGTGCTTAAAAAAATTCTTATGTCTCTGTGAACTTCTGAGATTGCTTCTGCTGCGTGTTGTTGAGCTGCTGCTCTGTTGTGCCGTGCATTGCAGCTCCCTGCTCATTGATTAAGATGCTAATTTATGAGAGTTAGAAAACTGCCTTGCACCACCACGGGGCTGTTTCATTTTGCGCTCTTGGATTTGAAATGCATCTCCTATATTGTTTGTTTCTATCCAACGCAGGCTTGTTTGCTTCGCTTTCAAGGGGAAGTGATAGAAAACCCAGGAACAAATGCGAGATATGACTTAAAATTTATCATTTTCTGGAGGCTTTTTGTTGGCGTGTCAGAATGGGAAACACTGTGGTAAAACCAAATGACGTTAATTGCCTTGGGCTGCTGGCTTTGCTTTGAGGCACCTGAGTTTTGATCTACGTTTTGTTGTCTGGAGGATACTTAAAGAAGTGTACTTAAAGGTGTTTTACCTTCGTGCATTTCCACGCATCACAGCTGCACTCTGCAGTGAAGAAAAAATATCCTGAAAGTGGGTAAAATCATCTGAGACAGTCTGTGATGATGACGTAGAGTTAGCAAGCACAACATGGGAAAGTAGCACCAATAGCAAAGCCTCAGCTTTGTCCTGCACCGAGTGGTGATTTCTTCCCACTGCATCAGGCAGATTGACCAACTCTGTAGTGTCACAAAGTTGCTGTGGTCTCTACTTTGATAGTCAGAAATGAACAAGAGCAGAATAATTAATCAGAAAATAGTGTTACTTACTGTTGTGACATAATTTCATAAAGACAAATATTTTTTTGCCCTGCAAACTACTTATGGGCACATACATATATATAAGAATATACACATCATGTATATTTTTCCTTTAGCAGGAATAGAAGTACTTGATTATTTTATAGCTCTGTTAGCAAAGTTCAGTGGTAAGTGTCCTTGCTGCCAAGTCACATCCTGGAATCTCTCTGAAACAATCATTAATGATCTGAAATATTAAAGGATCTAAAATAGTAAACACGTTTATAATGGTGAACACATAATGGTGTTTTCCAATCTGAGGATCCCTTAGACTTTTGATCCAATTCTATATTGTTTTGCTTGTTTTGCCCAATGGAAGCCATTACTCACGGTGCTGAAGAAGCCAAAGTGAGACAAACATACATGTAAGTAGGGGAGGAACACTTATCCAGCAGGTGTTGCACAAGCTGCAGCTGATGGAAATACATCAGTGCCAATGGTGGCCTGGAGCTTGGGCTGAGCTAACAGCCCAGGTGTTCGCCTGGGTTCCTGGCTGCATCTTTTGATCCCATGTGGAAAGCTGTGCTGCCAGACAAAGTTAGTTCAGGGGTAGCTCAGAGCGTGTGAGCTTCTGCCACTAACACAATTGTAGGGCGATCGTAACCCATTCCTCCACATCTGTAGTAAAAGCATCGTGCAAATGTTAGAATGCCATCATATAAATCTATCATATTCATTATTTCCTCCTGGAATTATGCTTATTTCTGAATGCCCTACATTTCAACAAGGTGACAAGTTAATGGGAAGCTGTTTAGAAAACATGATTAGGATAAGATGTGGAAAGCTTTCTTTATTAAGAGAAATGGGAAAGTCTGTGGCTTGCTTGGAAAAAAAACAACCCAAAACAGAAACGAGTTGTAGAGGTGTGTGAAAGCATACTGCACTATTTTTGAGAATACAAAGCAGGCACTTCTTTTACCATAAGAAGTTCTTGAAACTGCAAGGTTAGAAACGTAAAACTAGTTGAAAAGTCGTATAAGTTTGTATTATGCTGCATAATGAGCATGTGGAACCTATTACTGCTGACACCGAGACCAGCGGAGTGGTAGGTTGTTTTATTATTCTCGTGAAAGATCAGATTTATTAAATAAAAATACAGGCATCATTTGTCTTCTAATTAGAGTCGTAAAAGATAGTGGATGTCAGGATATTGCTGTCAATGGAAAAGGAAACAAGTACTGTTACAGTTGAATTTCCCCCCAAAAAAACTATCAACATGTTTCTTCAAGTATTTCATATGGATCTTTGTCAGAATGGAGGCAGTGCGATGATGATCTGCACTCCTCTGCCTTATGGTAGCCCAAGTGCACTTGGAGGAACCTTTCAAGGTTAAATCACCTTATCCTGAAGTAATCCTTGCTGTAGTTTCCGTATGTTAAGGAACCATTAAATCCACTGTGGGATTTAATGTATAGTTAGCTTATTTAAGTGGAAAATTTTGCACATCCAGAAGGAAAACTTTGGAAAGTAAATTTGGGTAAAATTCTGCTTTTAGGAATCGCACCTGAAGCTGAAGGACAGAGCAACCAACAGGTTTTTAAACTTGATTTTTAAAGTCACCTGGGTAGCAAGGTGCACGAACGTCCCACTGTGTCTGTCAGGTGGGACAAGGGGCTGAGCCAGGCCTGCTGGAATTCAAGTTATCTTTCTGATGTGCTGCATATCAGAAGTTTTGCTGGGATTAGTATGCCATTACTTGCACGTCAGCATCACTTAGAGTATTTGCTGAATTCTTTCTATTATATAGGCTACTTGGGGCATTCAGCACATATAACCCTGTAATTAGTCCTTCTGAAAGAAAGCACTTCCTCATCAATGATGATATACTGTGCTTAATACACTCTATCTGCTGTTGTACTACTACTGGCATAGTATGCTCTGGCTCATAGAAATAAAACAAGGTTTGGAAAGCTTGTACAGTCATTCTCAGTTTTGACTGATTCCCTCTGATGTTTAAAAATAAGAGCTGTGTGAATGCAAATTTATTGTTTTCAGTAACATCACCCTCCCAAAGCCTAGGAAATAGGATGCAGCTGTTGCTATTTGATTTGAATCACAGTCAATTAATGTTAGCGATTGGTAAATTTGAATCAGTGTCATGATTTGAATATGTGATCAGTTTATTTTTGTTTTCGTGTGTACATGGTAGCAATTAGTTATTGTTGCTTGTGTAATTCATTGCTATCCTCTGTGACATTAAGCAAGTGGAATATTTGACCTGTGCTACAGCAAATGATGAAATGTAAGTGCACCAAATTTAATGCAGAAAGTTAAATTTGAATATTTTACCAGCTTTCTCTTTGGTTTCAATAATTTATAGCAGATGCACAACTTAAGTACTGTACTTTCATACATCTTTCTTTCCCTCCCCCATTGACTGGCTCATGAACAGTTGCTATTTATTATTTATTTCGAAAGCTTTTCACAGAAACCCCAGGAGATGAATCTTGTATCCATTCCTTAAGGCAAGCAGTAATATCAAATACTGTAATAATAATAAAAAAGCAATAGCGTGTTGAACAAAGAGTGAAAAAAGAAGAAAAAAAAAAAAAGCAAATTGTCGATGTCTTTACTGACGACATAATGATATAATGATTTTTAAAAACTCTCTAGGATGTAATATTGTAATAATATTGTAATAATTTTATTTTAGAAGGCAGATAATAGGCAGAGAGAACAAAGTCTGAAGAAAGGTCAACGGCAGCACAAATTACTCAGCTGGTGTTGCAGTCCATTCTGAGGAGTGTTTTGGCACTGGGACCTAAAAACCCATTAATTTGTTCACTTCCCTCCAATAAGACTCACAGCCACCTTTCAGATTAAGTGGGTAACAGTATTTTTCATACTTCAGAAATTTGTCCCCTGGAAACTCAACTTTGATGCCAGTTTTTGGAGAGAGCTGTCCGTTGCCTCTGCTCTCAGCTGGATTTTAATAGAGCCTCATGAAACTGCGACAGGTCCAGATAAACTCAGCAGGAATTTATTTTGCAAAGTCTGTTGACTTTCTCACTTACTCCTACCTTATTTTTCTGCCTTGCTCACTCACTCAGGCAATGATTTGCCCGATACATGTTTTCAAAGTGTTGAATGTTTGGCTTATCTTCCTCTCTTTTCCAAACTGCTGTATCCCAATGTAAATCATAGAATCATAGAATGGTTTAGGTTAGAAGGGACCTCAAGGATCATCAAGCTCCAACCCCCCTGCTGCATGCAGGGCAGCCAACCTCCATATTTAATACTAGACCAGACTGCCCAGAGCCCCTTACAACCCAGCCTTGAACACCTCCAGGGACGGGGCATCCACAGCCTGTGCCAGCACCTCACCACTCTCAGAATAAAAAACTTCCCCCTGGTTTCCAACCTAAATCTTCCCTCCTTCAACTTAAAACCATTTCCCCTTGTCCTGTTATTATCTACCTTTTCAAAGAGTTGAAAAATGTTGTTCTATTCCTTTCTAACTTCTTCACTTTTCAAGAAAAAAGAACAAAACCAACAAGAAACATGAAACAAAGCCACACAAAAGCAAAACAAAGAGAAAAGCAGCTTTACATTTTGCATGCAACTACAACCTGTTGTGATTATTTATGATAATGATTGACTGGGAGCAGTAAATGCATCTTTGTCTTAGACTTCAGTTCTGCCAGAGTTACACTTATCTTGGTGCAGGAAGAAGCTCTCAGCTGTCTCTCTCAGTTTTCTGGTTTGTTTCAAAATAATCAGTGAATCCTGAAGCTTGATCTTAATGTTGTCAAGTTATCTATTTGATTTGTTCTCCCAGTTTTCCTCCACCGCTCGCAGTGTTCCTACCTCTTTTCCAGAGTAGACGCTCCCTTTCCCATTATCTTCTCTTTATCTATTTCATCTTTTTTCCTTTGTATATGAGCCAGACTCCATACAGGTAGATAGTTGCTGCTGGTGCTGCTTTTAAGCTAATGAAATTCTCATGTCAACCTTCTGGTAATGATAACTTTCTTCTTTCTTTTAGCCGAGAGCTACGTTAAATAGACAGAAATAGAAGAATCTGTATCCATCCAATGCAGTCAGAGCCATAGAAATATCTAGTTTTGTCTATCTGCAGTCCTAGAACTGTGTGGGCAGATAACAAACTACAGCTCTCCTTCAAAAATCCTGAGTGTTAGCAAAAATGGGGCCTAGGCACATAGCTGAGCTCAAACATAAGAAACCGAGGTACTGACATAACTGGGCAAAATAGCTGCTCCTGAAAAGTTTTGCTAAAGTAAGGAAATTAACAGTTAGTTCAGGGTGATATGATAAAAATTAAGGAAGAATAATTTGAATGTCTTTCCAGTGATAAACATAATAATGCTTGGAAGTTAATGTATTCAGAATGGTCATCAGGACACTGATTCAGGGCAGAATAATGCTGGATGGAGCTGCCTTCTTTGAGCTTAGATCAGATAGAGGCCTTCCCTCAGCCTTTTCTGCTGTGAGCTGAACAAGCCAGGGGACCTCAGCTGTTCCTCATACATCTTGCCCTCTAGACCTGTAACCATCTTCATGGCCCTCCTTTGGATGCTCTGTAGTAGTTTTATGTCCTTTTTATATTGTGGTGCCCCCAATCCTGTCCCTGGGACAACTGAATCCTCTGCACAGATTGAAGGTGGACTGACTGGGTAGCAGTTCTGCACGCAGACATGGGGAGCTGGCTGACACTAGGCTTAACACAAGTCATCCGTCTGCCCCAGAGCAAAGTTGGCAGAATACCACACCTGAGCTTTATTGTCTTTTCTGGGAGAATGTTTTGCCGTTCTCAGGGCTCAAACCAAGTCTGGTGAAATCTTAATGCAGCTGTAGACTTTGCTCTGACATGGCAGGGATGTGCTCATGCGTGGCTTTTTGCTGTCTTACCCACGAGGATGACAGACCATGGTGAATGCATTCAATGAGTAGCTAAGGATGATACTGTAAAATGCTTAAATGTACTGAAGGTTTTAACATGCTCAGGAAAATAGGAAATGTAGACCCAGCTAGAAGCTTACAGTGGCGTAATTGACATGTTTGGCATACAAATAGCTTGAACAATTAGACAAAAATAATCAATATCAAATGATGGTTGCTGTGAGCCCAGTATTTTGCTATTCTGTGTCTGTACTTAATGGATATAGACGTGTTTGTAGGTTGTGCTAGATATTCTCTGACTATGAAATTGCAGCAGCAGGTTGTGAAACATGTATGAAATTAAAATTTTGAATGCATAGAGGGCATGAAAGAACAGACAGCTGTGGAGGCTTTGCAATGAAAGACTTTCCCAAAAAGCTGGGAAAGCTCATCAGACCTTGCAAGGACCAAAAAAAAAAAAAAAAAGAAGAAGAATCCTTAAATGTCTTCAAAATCTAAGCAAATCTTTCTGCCTTCTTTTCTCACTGGTGGATTTCCCCTTAACCTAGGCTCGGTGGTGTCTAAAAGGAAGAACTTCAAGTTCCCACTTTTAAGTTTGGCAGCATTTTTATCATGTTTACATGTTACTTAATTCTTTCTTTTCCGGGACTGATGTGGGCAGGATGGATTAATGTGGAAGGCTTCAAGAAAAAAGGCTGGGCCAGGTGTCCAGGAATCGTTTTCATCTTTTTTTTTTTCCCTGCAAATTGAAACCTCTTCATAGCTGGGAGAATCGGATTTGGATTTGTTTCTTCTTTTTTTTTTTCTTCTTCTTCTTCTTCTTCTTTTTTTTTTTTTTTTAATGTAAATGAAACCTGGTTCATGGAAATGGAGCTTTTGTCATCAATCTTGCCTCCCCTGTTTTCTTCCTTTGATGAACTTTTGGTTAGACTAACTTAAAGATCCCATCTGGGAGAGGCAAAAGGCAAACAGGAGGAAATTTTGAGATGTTAGCTGGCCAGTGGAGTATCTTTGAGATGTGTCTGTTCACCTCAGGTTTTTTATTTCTCAATAAAATATTAAAAAAAAAAAAGTGAATAAAAAAACAGTGGATGTTAAATGGGTGAACTTCACATTAGGACTCAATGATAAATCTTATAACAAAATGCATGTGAGGAACAAGGTCATGGCTGACAGTTTTCCAACTGTAATCTTTTTGTTTACTGTATAATGCATTATTAACTGCTTTATTATTATTATTATTATTATTTTAAATAAATGAAGCTATTTTCCTTCCCATACTGATCTTTACCCTGTATCAGATAAGTAGGCATCTATATCTTATGGTTGTTACTGGAATGTTCTAAAAGGCGATGTTGACCTTTTAGGCAAAGTGAGGAGGAGAATATGAATGATATTTGTAGACATTGATATTCATAATGGGAAATATTCATATAGAAGAGCTCTATGAGGAGTACTTAAAAAAGAAAACAAGCACTAATGTTGTGTGCCTTTTCTTGCAGGAAATTAAAATGCATGACTGACAGTGAAACTGTTGCACCTGACTGGCCTTACTACAAAACCATTGATAGGATCTTATCCAAAGTGACAGACCACAGTGATGTGAAAATGCATGAAAATCAGCAACCAGGTCCTTCTACATCACAGACAGAGGCCTCGCAGTCACCATCAGCTAAGTCTACACCTCTGTATTTGCCATATAATCAGTTTACATACGAAGGAAGGGAAGAGTGCTTTGAAGATGAACATTCAGAGAGCTCATCAAGCTTACTTTCTTACAAGCTGAGGTAGCATCTAATTTTTTTTTTTTCCCCGCTTTCTAGTATTTCACAGAATGAATGGGATCTGCTTTCACAAAAGGGAAATCCTGGAACATTTTTCTCTAACGGCTCTTGCAGCTTTCCTGTAAATCACAAATTGAGATACGTTTCCCATTCTGCTGAATTTGGGCAATTTCTTTCTTCTTTCGTGAGAGATTGGAAGGGAGCAGAAGGACTGGGCAAAAAGTCATTTAGTATTGCCAAAATTCAGCATGTATGTCTCTGCTCACAGGAGGTAGTGTGTTTGTGGTAGGAGTACAGATATGTTCATGATTGTGCTGCAATGTTGTATCTCTTACCACATTTTGCTTAGATGATTTTTGGCTTGCTCTAGGTTTTTTGTTGTTTTGTTTTCTTTTGGTAGGAGTAATGGGATGAGATTTCCCTGGCTTCAGCTATTATTAAAATGGTGAAAAGTTGCAAACTAAATATTGCCATGGACACTGAAGTGCTGTTCATGCAGTTTGAAAGTACATTGCATACATTATATAAAATGAAGAATGTCATTTTTTCAAAGTAAATGCTTGGTTGAGAATGCAAATGTGTTTCCTTTTCTGATAAGATTGGAGTTGTCTGGAAGGCAGCGTTTTAGCAGAAGGCAGGCTATGTACTTTAGACTTCACTGATCTCATTTTTCATCCAGAGTGGTGTGAAATAAGAGTTGATTACAGTTTTCTGGCAGGAAAAAGTTGGTCCTGAAGATTTTATCACGAGTCTGTGAGGCTTTAACTGTAACAATAAAATTATCTGTCAGTCATGCAGCTGAGAGGGTGTAAAGCTGGAAGAAGAATCAACCTAACAAGTTGTGATTATTGTTTCCAGGCCTACTCTTGGATGGGTAAAACTAGGATAAGTCCACTCAATCATTCAATCAAATGGTCCTTGAATAGCTGACTATTTTAAAAACTAGTACATAAATCCTGAACTGTAACAGTCTTCTTGTTCACAGGCAATAATTTTTTTACATCGTAGTTCATTGTAGTGGCTTGATATCCCCTGATAAACAACCTCTTGTGGTTTAGTATCTGTGAATGCAAAGACATCTCTCATGCAAGAACTCCTTCACCAATTCTTAAATTGGTTTCTATTAATATTTTTTAATAGTTAAGAAGTTGTTTATTCAAAACAATGAGGTGTATTTCATACACTAAACTATTTGATAACATAAAGATGTATTTTTTGTCACGAGATGTTAGATTTCTTCATATCAGGGATGATTTCCTAATCATGGGATCATATTAATTCCTATTTTTGTTGCAATTCAAAGGTGAGAAAAATCTTTGAAATTTCTATTTTGTTTTAATGGGACGCCTGGTATTTGCTCAGTATTTTACAAGCTTATATTGCATTGCAATATCAATAAAGCATCTGACAATAATAGAGTTGGATAATTCAAAGTGATGGAGTCTTGTTCTGCAACTAAGCTTCTAAAATCAGAATTTCTAACAACACTTATGAACGACTTTTTATCTAATTGAAAACAGTGTTTTTTCATCCCGTGGTCTAACTTATAGCCTTGTTTCTTTATTGTTGAAATAATGACAAAATGTAATTATACAGGTTGTGAATGGGGTTCAGACCTCATCAACTTTGCCATTTCTATCATGCTGAAAATGGGAATGAAAATAATTTACTTTCATAGGTTAATAGACTATAATAAAACCTCAATGTCAGCTGGAGTGGCTGCCTGTTAGAAAACACCATCCATGTATTTAAATTCAGTTATTCTGATGTGGAGCCCGAAGGTGTTATGGAGGGCATTCTGTGGCATGGTTCCCCACAGCAGTGACTTCTGACTCAGAGCCTCGTATCTCTATTGCCTTCATTGCTTTGTTCTTATGATTTTACTCTTAGAAATTTTTCACTACACATCCAGCCTAGTACTGATATATGCAGAAGATGGAGAATTCACTCATCACTATAATAATCTGTTCCAGTGATTATCCCTTGTTTAAACCAGTGTCTTGATTCTGGTTGGAAAATAGTGAGTTAAACTTTGTTTTTGAGGCCCTCCTAGTATTTTTTGCTTGTTTCCTTGAAGTAGTTGTGTATTATGGTCATTCCATCTTTGCTATTCTTCAATTTTTGAAAGGTAAATTGACTGCTACACAAGGCTTACACACCAAAAGAGTAAGATTAGACCTTTTTGTGGTTGTACTCTTCAATTCAAGGATGAGTCTCATTAATTCATGGATGCATTTGACTGTATTTGAATGGGCCTATGTTTATCAGAAAACATAGGTTTTTCTGATTTTCAGCCCTCAAATGATGAAGATCTTCCATTTCTAATACTAATATTTATTTTCAGGTCATTTCTAGTTCTTTTTCATTAAAAATGGGTTATTATTCAGATTGGTACGTAGCAGAAAAATAACACAGTCAAGTCAGAAATGGTAGTTAGCTCTTCAGACCTATAAATCCCAGAAACCAATGATACTGGAGACCCATTTGCCACGAAGTTGTTAGAAAGAGTTGTTATTGTGGTTTTGTGGAGGTAACACATTTGGTAGACAGATTATTCTTTGTGTTCAACTTCTGCTTCATCAGTTATTCTGACACAGTACTGAAATGAGCCTTATTGAGTGAGTATAGGCGATCACATAATTTTTTAATTTAAAGAGAGAATTAATTAGATTTTACATAGACAGCAAATGCGTTTGAGAGTGGAAACATCTTGCCTAATTGTATCTGGAAGTTTTGCTTTGTTCTTCCTGGCCTTCAACACACATCCTTGTTTCTGTTCTGTTCAGGGGAATCATTATTTTCTTCATTGCTTTGAGTCATGCCTGTCTGTTTTTGTAGTGTACAAATAGCTTTGCAAGGTTCTGCTTGGAACATGATCCCAAATGCCAGAGCTTTTTCATGCTCCATCTGCACGCTCAGGGGAATTTCAGTGCCAGTTCTTTTGGTGGCTCCCTGTCATTAACACTGGAGGTGTAAGGGTACCACCAGATTGTATTTGAGGTTCTGGATTTCCTAGACCATTCTTTTCTTCAGGTCTCAAAATGTACCTTCAGAGCCTACGCTTGGAGTGCTTCTTTGGCAGGAGGAATGGATGCTGCTGCATCTCCACTGTCACAAAGGCTGTGGCTGCGCAGGAATGCAGTGCGGAAAACCAACTGATGTTTGCTCTGTGAAGCACTGATCTTTACTTATGCCGATGCCTAGAGCCTATCAAACTAGACAAACTCCTACCTGAAACTGCTTGAGGGATATTGATTCTGATGGGATGCTCACCGCTGAACCATATGTATTTTATTCCTATCCCTGCTTCCCTCTTTACTTTCTGTTAGAAAAAGTTATTAACACTGGAGAGGGCTCTCTGGACCTACAAAGGAGACCTAGAACTTCTCATGAAAGATGGCTCAGTATCTGAAGAAGCACTTTGATTCAGATAGCTGCTTCAGGAATCACTGGACATTTTACATTGTTTCACACTGCTGAGGGTCCTTTACTCATAAATTAGATTCTTCAGATTCTTCTTTTCTTTCTTGAGAGGAGTGGTGATTGGGAACGCTACCGAAGCTAGGTGGTCTGAAATCGGTATTTATGTTCATTGAAGGCTGGCTAATTAGCAAGTCTTGTTTTTAATTGTGAACAGCAACACAGAGTACCTAACAGACCCTAGAGAATCCATGTGCCCTGGCTTTTGGGGTAACTCTCTGAGCTGGGACCCCATTCTGAGCAAGCACTTGTCAGCAGGTACGCTTTCTCAGCTATTATCAGACTGCAGATACTGCCGATGCACTTTCCTGGGTAGCCACCATCACCACTGGATGTTTTGCCTTTCTTTCCTTCCCAGAGCCATGCAAGGCGTTATTGTCTCAGACTCCTTATTGTCTTATAGACTTTTGATGGGCCACATCTAGTCACTGAAAAACAGTTATTATTCTGCATTGTAGGACAGTCTTTAGAGCGATGTTTCAAAATTCTTTTTCTTATCTTAAAAAAAGTCTTAAGATCTTTCAATGCAAATCACTTCATCTCCTTCCTTACCCTCACTCCCCTCCTCCCCCCCCCCACTTTTTGGGGGTCTTTTTGATCCTAATCAAAATTTAAAAAAAAATAATGAAATGACAGAGACAAGCACCAAGAAAGATGATGCAATACTCAGAGCAGCTCAGTACCAACTACATGCCCTGCATGTTCCTTTTCATTCCTTATTAAGGACCATTCCCTCCATGACCTACAGTGACAAAGATGCAAGCCCTTTTGTGGCTCTGGGAGCCAATTCTGACTTGTTTCAGTTGTGTTGGTTTACCAGCACTATTTCCTAATACTGTATAGGAAAGAGAATAGAAAGATCCATCAAGTTTCAGTAATAAACTTCACAGAGGATTTAAAATTCCTAAGGTTATTTTGGCTAAAATAATCATAATTTTGGTGAAGAAAATCCTTTGAGTTATGCCAGTAACTTTGAATATCTGGATAATCTGAAAGCCAGCAGTCTCTGGTCACCACATCAGTGTACATTTGTGAAGAAAGGCTGTCGTGGTTTCTTACCTGTGCATAGGAGGATGTATGACTAAGCTGTAGTGAAGCAGTTTCCTTCAAGATCTATTCTATTCTTCTTCCTCTAAGATTTTAATAGCATTTAACACAATCCACTTATTTCTTTTCATAGACCTCAACCTTTGTGTTTCACTACACCCTGAAATGTCAAGGGAATTGTGTCTTTTTGTTATATTTGCAGCAAGTCTTCCAGGTTCTTAGGTCTGTTTATTTTTCTTGCAGAGAGATCTGAATGTCAAGTAGGATAAGAACATATATGGAAATGTAATACAGAGCTGTCACAGCTGAGTGACCTCCCTCCCCACTCCCCTTCTTCACACCAGTAAAAACATTCCTCTAGCGCTAGGCTGATGTCCTCATTCAAGGTTGTCTTGAAATCTACAAGTTGTTGACACGGCATTCTGCTCAAAACTGTGCTTTTACTGGATTTCCCCTTGAAAGAATGCAGTGTTTGGCAGAATACAGCTGAAATTGCTCTTTGTGTAAAGGGACTTTGAGACCCATCATTGGATAACTTTGATGCTGGGGACTCAAGATTCATGGACTGTCACGCTAAGATTGAAAGGAAGTTGCCCATCTGTAACTGGAGGTTTTTCAGATGAGTAATTCACTCACAGTTTGAACTACAACAGATATAATGACCACATGAGCAAAAAGACTCTCCCAGCACAGTTTTTTACTCAGCATGTAAAAAACAAGATAAAAAGAAAATGTTATACCTAGGATTCTGAGGGAAAAAAAATCTTGTTAAAAATAAGATTTTAAAATCTATTTTTACAGTCAGTAATGTTATAAAACAATGGAATAAATACTTTTGTTTTGGCACAATTCTGAGAGGGAATTTATTGGAGAACATTTTTTATTAATTGAACCTAGCAATAGCTTGACCTACAATGTAGTATATGCATTTAGGTCCTAACATAGCTTCTTTTTTTTTCTTTTCCATAAATGTGATTTTAATTGTAAACAAATCTTCCTGTTTCAGAACTGAAGAAAGACCAGTTAAGAAAAGGAAAATGCAAAGCTGCAGCTTTCAAAAGAAGAAGCTAAAATTAATGGAGGCTATGTTGGAAGAACAAAAGAAGTTGAGCAGAGCTATGGAAGAAACCTGTAGAGAAGTACGCAGGATTCTGGATCAGCAAAACATCATTCAAGTTCAAAGCTTACAGCTACAGGAGAGAATGATGAATCTACTGGAGAAAATGATTTCCAAATCCAATGTGTAGTTTCCTTTGTGAATGCCTCTGAGATTATCATTGATATTATAGACATCCCCTTACTGCACACCTTATGTGTGTTTGTTGCCCTATTCCCAGGTTTTCCATGGAAACTAAAATCTTAGTGTATTCTTAGATAAGCAAAGAGAACAGATAATGCAGGGTGAGAGCTATCTGGCATGAGAAAAATAGTGCAATATATGCCTAAACTGAATTATTTTTATACAGAAAGATTAAGGGATGAATAGCTCTGGGAATTTCAATACTGTTATGCCTAGGTCAGATATTGTTTTACAAAGATGTTATGTATTTCTTCACATCAAGGACCATACCCTGACCTGTTGTTGAAGAACAAAGTAATGTGTTCTTAAACATGCTAATTGCATCTTGACTTTGCTGATGATTAAGCCCTGGTTTGAAACATACACAGTGATTGTACAAGTGACCTATGCATGGTTCTTGTGGAGAGCTATAGGGACCACAAGATGTCATTTTAAATTCCATGCCTGATATGAATAGTACTCTAATGTATGAGAGTAAAAATAGTCTATTCAAATACACTTTTCATAAAGTACAAACAGATCCTTACTATATACTGAATACTAAAATGTATAGACGATACTTGAAGTTGCTTTTGATATTAAATGTTTAATTTTTTTCATTATTAACTGGAATCTGTTGACTTAATGAGCGACCAGCAATGAAAACTATCATTTCTTCTCTATCACAAAAGAAAAATATTGTACTGTGTGTATATACAAATATATATCTATCAAATGAAATAAAGGAAAAGAAGAAACATACTTCTTGCTGGATAGATAATATGCTTTGCATTGGTGAAAAGGCAATCACAGTCAAAAGTTTTTAATTCTTAACTACTGGGTAAAGATCTCCTCTGCTGGTGCATATATTCATGGAACTCCTAAAGAATATTCAGTGCCTCTTCCTCAGCGTTTGCTCGTGGCACAACTTTAATATATATGCAAGCAGATGTAAGGCAGATCGGCATCGACAGACCACAAGAGGGAGCCGAAGGCATAAGGGATTGCGTTTAAGCCCTTGAGGTGAAGCGCTAGCGTTTGATTCTTTAATGCAATATAACATTGAAGTAACCTTTAAAACGTATTCAGAAGTTCCTCAGATGAATTCCTTTGTACACTTCTTTCTGTTTTCTTCTTGAAAAGCATACTTCTGCTTTCACTGTATTTGCAAGAATGAGTATCCCAGGTCAGATTCAGATACAGAGGTACAGAATTAATGTCAGTGCTGGAAACCTTCCATTCCCAGTATTAAATAATGTCTTCCGTTGAAGTTTTGTTTTTGAAGTTGTTTGCATTTTCCTATATAATTTAACATATTTTTAGCTAATATAATACTAATATTATCTAAACTATTTCAAGACCCAGACCCAACCAATTAATCTGTAACTACACCTGGTGAACAGGATAATGGTTATACTCACCAAACAAATTAATATTATATGGAAATAGTTCTTAAAGGATCCAGTAGGTGTGACAATTAAGGATGATGCAGCTCTAAAATATGATTACTGTATGTAAATGTGGCCTATTCCTATGGAGCTTAATTTGTAACAGGATCATGCAAACACCACAGTAAATGACCACACCTGCAGCAAATGTTGGCTCTCCAAGGATAAATGAAGCAACTTTCCTTCACACCTCTGTTACAGTGATTGGATGATTGGGAAAAGGGCAAATGTCTCTCTGGATTCTTCAGGGTGAATTTCTCACAGGGTGAAATTATACAGCAAAAGTAAGACTCCAAATATTTTGGAGTCCCTGAACTGGTTTGCTCTGAAAGAGAATCATGAAACCTTATAATGCGTCTGCCTGCACAGCCACTTGTAAATCAGGGCTATTCCTATTGCTGTATAGGTGCTTAGAACACTTGCAAGAGTATTGCCCTACATGCATATATGCCAGGGAAAATGCACGTTGTGCTTTGTCATGCTTTTGCACATTCCAAACATAGATGCATTTCAGATTCACATAGGCTGATGTATCTGTGCTGTAGTGCTTTCCGACACTTGTTTACAATAAGATTTAAAGAAAGTCTCCCTTGACTCCAAGGGAGTTAATAGTATTTACTGGTATTATTTGCACAAACCATATAGTAATTAAATCCAATTAATCAGCCATGCCAGTGGCAGCATATTTGAACTTTGCACCCTGGAGTACTCAGCCTGTCTCCCTGCAGGCTATGAGAATTATAATTCCAGAACCGTAGGAACACAGGAATGAAGGAAATCTGATTCCTTGCCTGCTACCATGAGCAACCATGTCACATAATCCTTTCTGTAAATGCATGGAGCTGTATCTTAGAGTGAGTTTGGTCTCTTGCCTCTAGAATTATAAAAGAACCACATAACTGATTGGTGAGCTGCAATTTAGAAGATTGTTTCTAAGATTATTTCTGGTCCGGGAATCTATTTCTTCTTGTATGGATGCTGTGATTTTGCTTCTGCTTCAATAATTACTCCTGAAAGCCAGTGGTCGAATCATGTGTGGCCCTCCAGAAGTATAATGCTCTTTTCTTTCATAAAGTAGGGATTATTTTAATGTCTGTTTTCCTATTTTTCTCTTTGAGTTCATCCTTTTTAAAATGAATGAGCTGAAAGACATAGAGAATTCAAGATGAAACTCTCAAACTTGTCATATAAATGTATTGAAGGAAATAGTGTTCACTGGAGAAATTTTGTTTTTGTATGAAGCATCATTTTTCAAGTGGCTCCTTTTTCTGTTTTAACCATATCTTTAGCAAAATGCTTTATTTCCATCCTTTCAGATTATCCAAATTCTCCCCATTTTTATCCAGAGATTGAACACGGCAGTGCTGCAGACTAGTATGAGTAGTTCCATGTAATTTCTTTTTCTCATGCTCTTTCTGTTACAAGTTAATAAGTTAAAAATTCCCTATATGTGCACTGTTTATTTTATTTTATTTTTTTTTGCTGCTGTTTGTTTTGTTTTAGGAATGACTGAACATAAACTTGAAAAATTAGGCTGGGTGATTTTTTGGTCCTTTTTTTGATGATATGCACAGATTTCTCATCTGGATGGGACAGTTTGCTGCAGGTAAAGACAACTGAATATTTGAGATGCTCAAACCAATTATAACTTGAAAGACTTGCCTAGGATTGAAATGCTTGTTGGAATTCCCAGTTTTGCAAAACTGAGACACTTGTTCTGGATCTCTATGAGTTGGGAGCTGAGAGAGTAATAAGTACTGAAGGAGAGCACGTGAGGGGTTGCTTGAGTTTAGCATTGCGACTGTGATATTAAAGGAACTCCCTCATGGTTTCTAGAAGTGTCATCAACAAATAAACTGTAGCGCAGGAAAACAAATTTGTTATTTTTAGGGCAGTAATGGGGTCAACACAGTATGATATCACTTTCACAAAGTGAAGCGCATGTATTACATATACGCCTACAGATGGTGCAGATATAAAATATAAATATGGGAGGAAAAACACTGCCTGGAGGCAGGTGACTTTGTAAGAGATGTAAAATAGAACAAAAAGGAACCTGAGGAGGCAGTGGGAAACATGCACGGAATTGAGTAGAAGGGGATTGTGATGAAGGATGGAAAATATATGTTGGGTAGAGAGGCAAAGTAAATGTCTCAAAACAAGAATACTAATCATGGGAAATACAGGAAAATGAAAATGAAAGGAAAAACAATGTTGAAGAAGAAAATTATAAGAGCTAACAGTGAAATTCTGTGTATTTTGAGTAGGCATCTACAGATAAGTTAGTCAAGTGAAAAATAGCGTATGGTAAGGAGTGGCATTTTTTTCTCATGAAAGATAAATAAGTCTCTGGACAAGTATTTGGAAGCAAATATATTATTCACAAACCAGGTTAAATAATTTGAAACAGGATTCTGTCATCACTGAACAGCATTTTCATATGTTGGTAGTAACCATTTGCTATTTCATACAGTTTGTATTCTTTTTTCTCCTTGATTTTCTATCAGTTTAAGATGTCAGTTCATTTTAGGCTTTGCCAACTTAGTGATCCACAAAAGCAGGCAATGTATTTATGGATGTGGAATCTCTTTCGTGTTTTCTCCATAAGTGGCTATCATATCTTTTGCAAAGTACAAAACCAGCAGGAAAACGCATCCAGGCTTTTTATTTCTTTTCCAGACTGCCTGCCCAATTCAGTGTACAGAGAGCTTACACTGAGAGAGCTTACAGCTCTCTGTAGCCTTACTCTAAGCTGACACCCTGCTACTGTGAATGAAGTCTCTAGCAGTAGTAGCATCAATGGGACCACTTGGATAAGTGTAATGATTTGAGTGTGTATGTACTTCAAGGATCAGCTCCTATGCTGATAATGTAATGTGAAAGGCAAATTTGAAAAAGAAACTTCAGAACATTTGGCAGTGTTATGTCAGCAAGTAAATACCAACCATCTGGTCTCTAGATTGCTAATCTTTTCCCCCTATTCAACGGGTAGCATGCCTCCTGTGTGTGCATGCTTGAGACTGCATCATTAAACTTTTGAATTGCTCTTTTTTAGTGTTTTAACAAAAAAAAAAACAACCAACCAAACAAAAACTTCAGCAATTTGGGGTGAAATATTGTTTGTATGCCTAGTAGAAACATTTAATTCTCCTACAGGTTATTTTGTTTTAAAGCATATTTTTGAAGCATGTTTTAAATGAGGATGAACACTTCCAAGTATTTTCTCTGAGCAACAGCCCGGTCATCTGCAGTGAACAACACCCAGTTATCTAGAGTTGGCTAATTATTACAAATTAGATATTAGTTTGATCCCAGCTGAAGGCTGTGTCTTTGTAAAATATCTGTTACGTAGTAAAAGGAGCTGCTTGTATTCCAAATCTTTTATCCAGTATTGAAACATTTTTCTAAAGAAACAGGAAGTAGCTCATGCAGAACTATCTTTCAAAGGAACTGCTTTTAGTTATCTGAAAATCAATCATTATTTTAACTATATAAATTCTGTTTTCTTGAAATATATTTCTTCAACTACGTTCTAAGAATTTGGCAAATAATTCTTGAAGTATTTAAAATGTTAAGAATAATAATCCAAATTTGGATTATATCCCAATCATATGTTGTGATCTTAGGGATAAGTTCTGAAATGCTGAGAGTTGTAAGAAGAAGTGAATTGGTGCATAGAATTGAAGCTATAACATTTTCTACTTACTTAAACATAGAGGAGTATTTATCACAGCTTGAAGTAGGCTTGTGTCAGTGAGGGAAGCTACAAGAATATCAATTTTTTATGAACTGCAAAGCAAATATATTTAGAAAAGTAATTAAAACTACTTTAAAAACTCTCCATGATCCTCATTTATCAGCCCAACAGACTTAGCTGTAATTTATCTTTCATTCAATATAATGAGATCAAATTCATTCTGCTTTACAGCCACATAAAACCTTGTCCACATGAACTTGTGCAGCACTAACATTAGCAGCATGCTTTCTTTAAATTGTTATGAATAAGATTTTAAATACTTCTTTTTCAGTTTCCTTGGCTTGTTACGTCACCAGAAGAAAATGAAGTGCATTGCTAGTAGTCTTTCTCAAAAAATAAAGCTATCCACATAGAGCTTTATCTGTACATCTCACCTGTATGCAAGGGTTTCATCCTATTTAGAGCTGGCTCATGTTGGCCAAAGAATTTCACCACAGTTGAAACAGCATAAAACAGATTGCACCAACTCTGTGTTTGTTTCATGTCTCCTTACTGGCAAGAACTTCTGGTGATTTGGTTGCACATTCTTGTGTGAGTGGGCTGTTCCATGCAACTTCGCATATACGTA